AATGCTCCACTTCATTTTCCTGACCCCTGGAGGATTTTAATGGGCGTTGGGTTTTCTGTCTCTCCCCTTTTCAGGATAACAACACTGATGTCTCTTATCTCTCCCCCCCACCATTGGGGCTGGAATGGGGGAAATCCAGCATTTTGTTGGGAGTTTTAAAGCAGCCTTGAAATCTGTGGAGGGAGATAAACTATCTTTGCTATCAGAAAATAGCTTCTCTTTGCTATCTGCTGGAACAAAGGATGCTCCTGCCAACAGCTTCTCAGGGAGAGACACTCCCAGGGGAAAGGTGGGAGAACCCAGGGGGTTTTGGGGACCCTCTGCATTCCAAGGAGGTGAGGTTTCAGGGAGTGAGAAGACTTCTGGAAAAGGACAGCACCAGATCTTGATGTGTGCACCCCGCAGCAGCTGGTGAGGAGCCACAAGAGGAGCTGAAGCTGTGAGGGATGAGCTGAGGTTGTAAAGGAATTCCCTGAGTCAGGAGATGGTTCTGCTCCCATTTGTCACGGCAAGAGAGTGGAACTGAGTCCTTTTGTTGCTGTGAATCACAGATTCACACAGAGATCTGAGAGTATTTCCGTGTGGGATGTTCAGGTACAGCCCAGTGGAGGTCTGGGGAACGTTTCTCTTTGACTGCTTGAAGGTTGTTCTGTAAGTAAAGCATTTCCTTCCCGCCAAAATATTCCATCGGCCAAAATTATTCCAATTAAATTATATTTTAGAATCCAAATTTTATCCCGATTAAATTAGAATTTAGAATCAATATCTAAATCACTGTGCTTAAATATGTGCCTTTATTGAACTGAGGTAAATGAAGCCTTTACAAAAACATTTTGAGGAAAGGATTCTGAGGATGGGAACACCTCTGATGGTGGTGACAAGTACACAGATGTCCCAAATTCCCTTGAGAGCGTGATGTTTCCAGCTGGAAGCTCTGGCAGGCACCACAGGTGCCAGCTCAGATGGACCAATTGGAAAAATCATCTCTTTTTCTCCTGGGGATGCATCTCCCACTGGATCCTTGTGGCAGCTCACTGGCCACCCTGGAGGGTGAAGCTCTTCTGCAAAGCTCAGGATTTGAGGGAGGATTGGTGAGTGAAAACCCAGCCAGTTTCTGCTGGTTTCCCTTTGTAGGAGAGATTAATCCAAATATTTCAGAGCTCAGGTGTTTTAAAGAGCTAATCCACACCTCATCAAAGTGAAATCAAAATCCAGAACTCAACCTTGGCTCCCAAGCTGATTTTGGGAGAGGCCAGAATTCCTGCTGAACAGCATTGTGCTAACAGACTCCTCATCCTCTCCTGCCAGGCACTGAAAGCCTTTCCTTGGCTGCTGCTATCTAGAGTTCCTCTGGGAAGTGCCACACTCACTCCCTCTCTGCTTCCTGCAGTTTTTCCTTGGCACGGATTGAGTTTGGAGACAGCTTTGGAGTCTCTTGATTTCATTAACATCTCCCTCCTGCTAAAGAAGAGAATGAATGCTGCAGGAACAGAGTGAGGATTCCAGCTGGGACACTCTCCCCCTGATACCTTTCCCTCACTCCTGCTTTCCCTGGGGACTATGTCCATTCCCCTGCTGGTTTTCCACCTTGATCCCTCTCCCCACTGGAGACTTTTTGGTGTCCCTTGGTGGGATACAGCCCCATCCCTTCTGGGATCACTCTTCTGTGTGTATGGACTCCTTTTGGAGACCCTCCTTCTGTCTCCCATTCAGCTGGAAGGAAAAGTCCCACAGTTTCCCCCGTTCCTGGTGGCTTCCTGTAGCTCCTTAGCAAAGAAATTCCAAGTTTTCATTAGACCTTTCCTGATCCTTGGCATGGCTGGAGGCACTTATTCCTTAGGCGTGGAGAGAGAGGGATTTTAGTCAGCAGAGAGATCCTACAAGTGGTTCTCTGAGTTGTAAATTCAACATGAAGACACCCAAACCCCTCCTGCCATCCAATATCCCAATTTTAATTTTTTAATTGATTTTTTATCCCAACATTAACCAAAGGAACACTGATAGCAATTCCTGGCATTTAAGAGCTGCATTTTCTGGGTCTGGTGAGTGTGTGTAGGGACCTTTTCAACACCAGTTTTTTGGTTCTGAATGCACACTGAGTGTCAGGATTTTGGGAGTGGGAGGTTGGCTGCCCTTTTCTGCACATGGCTCCTCAGAACATTTCCTGGGGGTGCTTGCTCACTTCCATGGGAGGAAGCACAGGAGAGCACAGAGGAGATAAAGCCAGCCAAGCTGAAGGTCAGTTCCTGAACCGGGCTGGGTTTTGTGCTGAGCCAGGGTTTGTGCTCATCCATGGGCAGGGGTGGGAGGGGAGGCACTGGGGGAAGCAGTGGTTTTAAATAGATGTTTATGGAGGATATCAACATTTGGCATTTCCCGATTTCAGAACACTGGAGGAGGAACCCAGAACTCCAGCAATCCCCCTCCTTCCCTCTGTGCCAATTAAGACCTCAGCCTGCTCCCCTCCCTCTCATGGAACAGCCCCTTGGGCACCCGTGCCAGCAGCACCTTCCTTTGGGAGCCCATTCCTGCCTTCCAGTGGCCCGGAGGAACAGAACAGTCCTGGGGGCTTTCCTGTGTGCTGGGAATGTGCCAGCCACCTGTTCCAGGGAATTAGCACCTAATTTCAGGAGATTCCCTCTTCATTGCTTTCTGTCTCTCACCTCTGCCCCCGAGCAGGGCTGGGATGTGGATCTGCACTTTTCCTTTTTCCTTCCAGCCCCATCCACCTCCAAACTGTGTTTATCCAAGGTGTCAGGTCCTGCCACCCCCACTGCCAGGTGGCTGCTGGAAGTCCCCCATAAAAGTGCATTTCTACGAGCTGCTGCCTCCTGTAGCCTGGAGATTCCAAGTCTCAAACAGCCTTTTCCTCTTTCTTCTGGGCTGCTCTCCCAAATATTTGCATTTCCTTTCTCCATATCCTGCTGTCACCTGCTGCTGTTGCACTTTGCATCTTGGCAGCCCCCTCGTGTCAGAGGGATTGATCCCAAAACACCGCAAGGTGTTGGGAAATCTTCACTGCAGTTCAGGGATCAGCTGTTGTTCCAGCAGCATCTGGAGTTCCCAGCTCCTCTGCTTGCTGGGGATTTCAGTCACTGCTCCTTGGCAGGGGTGCAGCATTCCTGGGAAGTCCCTTCCTTACAGTCTGGTGGCCGTGCTGAGTCTTTGGATCACCCATTTCTCTTGGCACAAGGATGTTTTATCCATTCCCCACTGCATTCAGGGAGTACGAACTCTCCTTTTACTTAGATTTCCTGACTGATGACTGCTCTCAACTGATGAGTCCAGGATGCAGGGATTGCAGTAATTTTGGAGTTTCTGAATCCAGAACCATTTGTGGTCCCAGCACAGAGCTGTGAAGATGGTCACAGCTTTCTCAAGGGTGCTGACAGCCTGGAGCAGGGAAACGGGCAGATAAACCAGGGAAGCCGCTCTGAAGGATGGAGGAGGACACAAAAGCTGCTTCCTGAGGTTGCTGGATTAATGAAGATGGGAGGCATGGAGCGAAGTCTCCTTCTCACTGCTAGATTTGGGTGGGATGAGGACAGGAAATGATGGAGAAGCCAAGAAACAAGTGGATCTTTGGATGGAATAACCTCTGCTGGCTCCAATTCCATGAGAAAGATGTTCTTCCATAGTGTCCCCAACCCTTCCTTTATTCCTCTCAGAGCTCAAACCTGCACCACTTCTTTCCCCCGTTCCCACATCTCTCAGCTACAGGAATGGGAGATGCAGTGTGACATACCCAGATGAATCCCAGAGCCCTGGGCATGCTGAGCCTGCTGCCAGCAGGAAAAGGGAACTTTGCCGAGGATGGAAGAGTTCCCAGCATGGAGATGGCACCTGGTGTCAGCAATGCAGGATAGCTCAGTGGGAATCCTCAGAATGCCTTTTATCTTCAGCAGCACAGCTTCCCAGAAAGCTTTCAGTTCCTTTTCTTCCTACCAATTAAAACAAAATAAAAATATTACGAGCTGTTTTGTCTGGTTTTAAAGGAATACAGAAATAAAAAGGGGTTTGGCAGAGCAACACTCTCAAAAATTGTGCTGCTTTGGGGGTTGCACTTGGTTGACTTGTTTCTTTTAGGAGGGTGGCTTGCAAATTTTGTGCAAACTTTTAATGTTTTGCTTCAAATCACTTCATGTTCTTGAGAAATGGTGTATAAATGTTCCAAATTTGCTGTGTTTAAAAGGAGAGGCGTCTACCAGCAGGGCGGTTTTGAAGAAAGGTGTGTGCTCTGGGTTGGGTTTGAGCCTGTCATAAATATCTGGGCCTCGACGACTCCAGGATCAAACACTGCTTTTGAAATTAGAAATAAAACCTACAATTAAAAAACCAACCCAGGCTCATCTGCTAGCGGCAGCCTCGGCAGCCTGTTAGTGCTGTGTGCTCCAACAGAGCTGGGGGAGGAGCTGGAAGCAGGATTTTATCCCTTATTTTTGATGTGCTGATTGAAGTGAGTGTTGCAGCCCTGCTGCTGCTGTGTCCTGTGCCAGCGCAGATGCCCAGGACAGCCCAGGGAGAGCAGCACGGAGGGGCTGATTTGGGGATGATTAAAAAGCCTCAGAAAGCCAGAGTGGAAAGAGGAAAGGACTCTTAACTTGGTTTTAGGGAGGATTTAGGATTCTCAGTGCATCAGCTCAGCAGGAGGGATCATAACTCAGGCTGGGGGAGAACCAAACTGCTTCAGTCAGTTCAGGCTGTGCTGTCCCTGCAATATTCCTGCTGCCTCTGGGAATGGAAGCTCAGATGGGAGCTTCCAGGATCCAGATCCTGCTGGGAAAACCTGGCTTTGGCTTCCCCAAGACTCTGCTCTCCAGCACAGTGACAACTCGGGGATGGCTCCATCCCTGGGAGGGTTTAAGGTTGGGTTGCATGGAGCTCTGAGCAATGTGGGCTGGTGGATGGTTGGGGTGGAACAAGATGAACCGTAAGGTCCCTCCCATTCCAAACCAGTCTGTGATCTCACAGGGCTCCTGAGATGTTCCAGAAGAAAACAAATGACAAGGGAGATTCGGGACATGACACACCTGAGCAGTCAGACCGTTCTGTTTAAAGCTCTGCTGGGCAGAGTGCAGGGAAAGAGTTCATAGGAGGGTGATGGAAGACCTGTGGATATCCCAAAACCCCAAAACATCCACCTGCTCTGCTGTGCTGGCCAGGTGTGTGCTGTGCCTGGTCAAACAGACCCTTCTGGAGGGGCTCAGCATCTCTGCAGACAGCGGATGTGGAGTCCTTGGGGAGCTGGTCTGGGCAGGGGACTGGTTTTGGGGTGCCTTGAGCTGCTGTCACATCTCAGTGACACACAGCCTGAGCAAGGTGATGATGTCCCACCCTGCTGGGGCTGCAGGCACTTGCTGAGCTCCACATTGCTCTGCTCCCAGACAGCCCAGCTGCAGGACTCTTTACCTGGGACATGCTCTGGGAGATGGTTTGCTTTGCTTGCTGTTTGCTGATGCATTCCCAGATCCAAAGGTGGTGGCCAAGGCTTGTTCAGCTGGGATTTAGGTCATGGCCAAAGCTCCATGGCCAGAGCTGGGAGTGCACAGAGCCTCAGGATCAGAGTCTGGCTCAGTCCTGACCAGACAGACCCCCCAGAAGAGTGTCTGGAGAAGATCACCAGCCACCACTGAGCAGGAGAGGCGTGGGATGGAACCACTCCAGGGCTTGCTCTCCTTATCTCTGGTGGAGATGGAGACAGTGCCTCACGCAGGGGCAGGATGTGGGAGGAGAACCAGGGTTTGTCTGATGTCTGGAGGCTTCAGAAGCGGATCCAGAAGGATCAGAGAGGAGCCAGGAGTGAGTGGCAGGGAGCATTCGATCCAGGCCCCTGCTGCTGGCTGTCTTTATGTGGCATTTGAGACAGTGTGGGCAGCTGGCTCCAGCTTTCCCTCCCGACGCCGCTTTGTTTGGAAGGTTGTAGACACATGTCAGCAGTGATGGATAGATTTGTTTGACTTCCTGTCAAATCAATGATTACTCCTAGAAATCTCTTTTATTAGTTTATCAGAGGAAGTTCTCTGTCATTTATCCCAGCGGAGCTTGGCTGCCTGGTGTCACTGAGCAGGAGTTATTGCTGGCTTTATTGTGCTGCTGCTTTTAGGCTTTGACACCATATTTATTTTTGTCTTGCTTTGACACTAGGAAAGGTTCGCTCCTGTTTTACTCCTCATTGCACAGGTTTGACTTTCCTTTCCCATCCCAATCCTTGGAAATTTGCAGGAATTTACCCCAAGTACCACAGTTTATCTCCATGTTCTCTGTTCAGCTCTGGCTTTATGCTGTCTGGCTGTTCCTTGCCATTTTTGAGCTCATGAAGGTCTTGATTTTTCAGGAATTATAGGACAGCTTGGATTGGAAAGGACCTTAAAGATATTCCAGTTCCAATTCCCTGCATCCCAGAAGTTGGAGCAAACGGATTGGAATCGGAGGAAGGAAGGAAAGATTGGTGAGTTAGAGGGAAAAGTCACGAGGATGTGTGTCCCAAGTCTTCTCCACCGGGCTTGGCTCCAGGGAGAAGGAGGAGCTCCCCCTGCCCAAGTTTTCATGCTGCATCCCAAGGGATGGGCTGTGGGGGTGGATTGGTCCCAAGGCTCTTCCATGGCTGCAGGAGCCCTGTGGGGCTGAGCATGGCCTGAAGCAGAGCTGGGCTCCCCACAGGGACATTCCTGGGTCATCTCCATGTTCCCCCAGCCCCTCGGGATCCAGAGGGCCCTCTGCTCACAGCATCCCAACCCTGCGGGGCTGATGGACACCCAAAGGCTGGCAGGGGTTCAGAATGTAGTCCCTTCATGTGGGCTCAGGCCAGGGAGCTGGAGCAGAGCTTTTTGGGATCTTCTGGATGCAGCAGCTTTGCTGAGAATTTCATAGCTCTTTTCAAACTGGGGAGAGGGAGACTTCAGGCATAGCTCACACATACAAGGGCTGTGCAAATTTCTGAGTCATTTCTGTCTTTGGTTATTTGTCCCCATTAAAAAGCTCACGGAATGACTTCAGATCAATCTAAATAATATTTTTCCCATCCACATTATGAATCATAGAATCACAGAATATGATGGGAAGGGACCCATCATGAAGTCCAGCTCCTGTCCCTGCACAGGACACCCCAACAACCTCCCAGTGCCTGACAGCATTGTCTAAATGTTCCTTGAACTCTGGCAGCCTTGGAAAAATGGCTAAGGATTACAGTGGAAAGAAAGATGCTTTCAAACCAGTTTCAAAACTAATCTTGGAAAGGATTTGGAAACTTGGAAAATCTCAGCTTGATTAAAAGTAATCAAATGAAACATCATCCTGGCTGTTCTCAATCTTTCCTACCAGTAACAGAAATCCAGACAATTGAGAGTGCTTCCTTGTTCTGCTTTATCCAGAGTGAATCCTTCCAGAGCTGGGCTCTGCAGCTCTTCCCTACCCTCTCCAGTGGCTGAGCATGTGCAGAGCTTTGGGAGCTGCTGGGATAACAGTGCTGACCCCAGAGTTCCAGGAGGAGAGGGCTCTGAGCAGGGAAGGGACAAGGGCAGAGCTTCACCCTCGGAACAGTCCTGAAATGAAACATCATTTCAGCCAGCAGGGCAGGATGAGGTGGGAGTGATGCAGCTGCACAGGAACAGGCTCTGGGTGACTGTGCTTGAGGTGTGGATGCTGCTGCAGCCTCCTCTCCTCCCAGGGCCAAAGGTCTTGCTGTGTTTGTCCTGTTAGTCCAGGAACTCCTAAGCCAGGCTTTGATACACTGATCTTTGTCTTCTCTCTGAGGACAGAAACATCTGCAGTTTTTCCTTGAGCCACATTGGGGAGAAGGAATTTCTGCCACTGAGCTGGAGGGGGATTTGGGCTCAGCCTCAGGTTTAAGGTGAATATACACTCAGTTTTGGTCTGCTAATCCAGGCTGCTCCAACAAATGCTTCTCATGCCTGGTGCCCCTCAACTGGAGCTGATGTACTTCCATATCCCCTCATGGTCCTGCTTGTTATTGACCTGGATGTCTGGAATGGTACCCAGCTTTGGGACAACAATATCCAGCTGATGTGTTGTGTAGTGGTGGGGGCAGCAAATGAAGCTGAGGGGAGACAGAGGCAGTGGTTGAAGCCTTCAGTGAGAAGATAAAAGCCTGTTCCAAGATCAAAGGCAGCAGAGAGAGGTGCACAGCTCCTGAAAGCAAATAACATCCAACCATCGAACGTGAAGCTGGGATTTATCTCTGGTGATGAGACCAGGGCACATCCCATCCCTCCATCAGCAGCTGAGCCTGACAAGGACAGCAATTGCCTCCTCTCTGATGCTCACTGGAACTCTGAGCAGTAGGAAAGCTACAGCCTGTCACCCTTCCCAGGACAGGAATCTGTTCCTGCTGCTGGGAAGTGCTTCCAGAGAGAGAGCTCTCTTATCCCACTCTTATCAGGCTTTTCTACTCTGTAGTTAGTGGGTCAAACACCTGATTTGATTCACAGGCCATTCCCAAATTAGTGAGAGGTGTAGAAATCACCTGGGGGAGGAACAGAGGGATGGAGGGATCCTCAGGAGAGGTGGGTGAAGTTTGCTGGCCCAGGGGGGCCCATTAATTTTGCCAGTGTGTAATGCAGAGTGCAGTGATTGCTCCAAACAGAAATGATTTAACCTTGAGTGAGGGAAACACAACCCAGCAGCAGCCGTGGAACAATAAAGAAATTCCATCTGTGATCTCCCGTGCCCCGCGCTCCGCTCGAGCGGCTCCGATGTCACCGATCCATTATTTCCACGAGCGACTGTAAGTGCATTATGCATGAGCCTGTGGCCACTGCTGGATCAGCCAGGACTTCCTCAAGGCAGCAAAAACAACCCATTCGATTTCATGGAGCTGGGCTGTGCTCCTTGGCTTGGGAACTCGGTGCTGCCTGGTGGGAAGGTATGGTTTTGCCTGAGCTTGGCACAGAGGGGATTTGCCATGTGTGCCCCTGTGGGTGTGGATTGTGGCTGCCCCCATAGTGGGCTTGGCTGTGCAAATCCAGTGGGAGCAGCAGCACCCTAGGCTCCCTGAAAATGCTGGATTTGCTGTGGGCCATTGCTTTAGGGAGAAGTTGAAGCACATTTCAGCTTTTGGCACCTACCCAGGTGTGCTGTGGGATGACAGCTGCCCCAGGGAAGGAAGGGAGGGAGGAAGGTAGATTGGAGTTTGCCATCCCAAGGCTGGAATTACAGAATAATGGAATATCCTGAGTTGGAAGGAAGCCACAAAGATTATCAAGTTCAGCTCCTGGCCTTGCACAGACACCACAAAACCCCATCAATGAGACCTCACGGGGGTCAGCACTTTGCTCTCGAGGAGCAGCTCCAATCTTTGCTGTGCATGACCAGGGACTATGGTGCCCAGTGATGACAGAACCCAGGCTGGAGCTGTGCCAGGAAAGGGTTAGGTTGGATATCAGGTTCTTCCCCAGACAATGGTGGGCACTGCCCAGGCTCCCCAGGGAATGGCCCCAAGGCTGCCAGAGCTCCAGGAGCACTGGGAAAACACTCCCATGGATGCACAGAGTGGGATTGCTGGAATGTCCTGGGCAGGATCAGAAGTTGGACTGGAAGATGCCTGTGTGCCCCTTCCAGGTCAGGATATCCCATGATTGTAAGGAACAGCTGTGAGCAGCAATGCATTGCCGTGTGCAGGGTTTAACAGCTGCACAGGTGTCCAGTGGTGAATAAGGACAAATGAGGCATTTCCAGGGGCAGAGCTGAGGAGTTATGGGATACTCTGGCCCCTGCTGAAGGCTGTTTAGCACTGACCCTCCAACCTGATCCCTTAGGTCTCAATACCTGGGTGTTGCCTTGGACTAAAGTAGTGGTTCCTTTACAGGCTGCTCTGGGCTGAGCTTTCCCTCTCCAGCTCAGCACCTCTGGCCAGACCTTTCCCAGAGACCAGAGCACAGGCCACAGGTTTCCCCGTGTCCCTGGAATCCAGGCTGCCCCTTGGGAGCCCAGATAACAGCCTGCTTGGAATGAAATCATGTTTCTTCATTAGGTGAAACAACACAGCAGAGGGAAAGGGATTTTAAAACAACAAAGGCCCACAGCATATTTTACTTCATTTAATCTTACAAGCTGGGTTTGATAGGCTTTTCTTTCCCCATGTAGCTTACAAAGCTCCAATTCCCCTCCAGGGCTTTGTTCTGCTCTCCCCAGTCCTTGCTTGGAAGGCTCAGAGCTGTATCAGAAGGGGCCCACAGGGAAGCCAGAGAGGGGCTGTTCACCAGGAACTGGAGTGCCAGGACAAGGAAGAATGGCTTGGATCAGATAGAGGGCAGAGAGAGATGGGATACTGGCAACAAATTCTTCCCTGTGGGAAGACCCTGGCACAGGGTGCCCAGAGCAGCTGTGGCTGCCCCTGGATCCCTGGAAGTGTCCAAGGCCAGACTGGACAGGGCTTGGAGCAATCTGGGATAGTGAAAGGTGTCATATGGGTCAGAGAATCATGGAATATCCTGAGTTGAAAGGGATCATCAATTCAGCTCCTGGTCCTGTACAGACACCCCAACAACCCCAGTCTGGGCATCCCTGAGGGCATTGTCCAAATGTTCCTGGAGCTCTAGCAGCCTCAGGGCTGTGCCCATTCCCTGGGGAGCCTGGGCAGTGCCCCAGCACCCTCTGGGGGAAAAACCTTTCCCTGATATCCAACCTGATCTCCCCTGAGATTCAATCCCCTTCATCAATATTAGGTACCACTGAATTAGCTCCTGCTCACAAAGCTGGGAGAAAACGAGCAGGGTTTTTTCTCTCCTTACCTGACTGCAGTTTTAACATCCCCAAACCTGGCAATCTGGCTGCACTGATGTTGCTGCTGAAAAGAAACAGAATTAGAAGGAATCAGGGGAATTATTCTGCAGGCTTGTAGAGTGTCTGCAAACCCAAAACATTCTGTATTATTGTGATGTCTAAAAGAGTGAGCTGTGCTCATCCCTCCAGAGAGACTGCACTGAAAGGAGGCTCCAGGACCGGCAGACAGGGCCCTGAACTGAAAGCCACCTTTCTCTTGCTGAGCCTGAGGCTGGTGCTGCTCTCCAGTAGATGCCAGGATTATGGAAGAGCTCAGCAAAGCGCTGCTCTCCAGCAGTTCCTGCTATTTCCCAGCCATCCCTTACATTTCAGACGTTTGATGTTCGCTTTGTGGGACAGAGCACAGCGCTAATTAAGTCAGGATCCTGAGCAGTTTTGCATCTCCTGCAGTCATGATGGGATGATCTGTCGCTCCTGAGACTGCCAGTGCTGATCCAGAACAAAGAGCTGTGGCATTCCCACATCATCACAGGAACAAAGGCAGTCCCTAAAAGGCTGCACATGCTGAGTGCAGAGCACCAGCACAGTTCTGCCTGACCCGGGACAGCTCCCTTCAGCCCTCTGCTCTTCGGCAGCTTCTGGCACATCCCTGCTCCCCTCCGTGCTCTGGGGCAGCAATTCTCCCTGATTATGCATGTGCAGGAGGCT